TTTATGTTTTATCAAATATTACTATAATATTAAAATGATTGAAATCCTTAACTAAATAATGAGGTGACTAGGAATTAGAGCGTCTCTCTCCTCAAGATTTTTGTATCCTTCTCATAAATTTTGAACCAAAGGTTTGTAATTATGACTTTGAAATCAATGGTGAATTGAAGAGGGATTAAGGCAGTCGATCTTTGTTAGATTTTTAATAAATATGTAATATCACTTTGTACATTAAAAATTTTACCCCCTTGAGACTAATTGTATATCTTAAGCTTTTAATAACTATGTAATATTCTATTATATAATAAAAATCTTGCCCACCTGAAATTTAAAAGTTCAATAATAATTATTTTTTATTTAGTAATTATTTTAATTAATTTATCATAAAGTTTATAATTGATATGACTCCAATAACTTTTCATCATCTGACACAAATCTCGAGACATGATATAAATCTCGATGTGACTTTTTTTAGCAGGAAATATTCAAGCATCGATAAAAGTCATCTAGAGCTCTGATTTCAGCAAAGTTACAGTCAAACTGACCAGTTTGACAAGAAGAACTCGATGTTATCAAAATTAAACTGATATAAATTAAATCAAGCATAATTCTAGCCATTAAACTATTTTTGGAAATTTTTTGAACATATTTAGAAGTTCAGACGAATGTTGATTTTGACAAGTCTATAGTAAATAAAGCATCTTAACAAGACTAATTCAACGAGCCCAATATCACTCAATTATGACATCATTAAGGCGCTCAAATGTTCATCAAATGCAATCTGATCGAGGGAAGCCTGAGTTATTTGACAAAGTGATTCATATTTCAACATTAACTACACCCGGAAGTCTATAAATAGAGTCACACCCCTCTCATGAGCGGGGAAGATAACTTGAAGCCGGAGGAGACTTGCAAGTCTAAAAAGAGACCTTGAAGCTTTGGGAAGGAGCTGAAGTCCAGCACCACTCGTGGCGACGTCGACCACTGCCAACTTCCGCCGACTATCGTCGATCACTATGCATCGGTCGTCGCCGATCACGATTGGTCGTTGTCTGTTCCTTGCAAAAAAAAGTTTAGTTGCACGTCAACTTTGTAACTTAAAGATTTTTTAAATCTTTCACTTATGTGGGAGAAGTAGTTGCAATTGTAATCATTGTTTATAGTGAAACTCTTCAGCTAAGTCAGTCCCTATGATTTTTTTTCTTTTGCGGGGTATTCACATAAAAACTTCTGCTGTTATTACTAATTTTTTTTCTCTCTTCTAAGTGTGTGTTGAATCTGTGTACTATGCTAAGACGATAATCTGCTACTCTACTGCCGCGAATTTTCTAACACTCATCGGTTTGGCTTCGTCTGTAGAAAATTTTAATCCCACCACTGAAGTACTTGTGAGGCTCACTCCAACACCAATTATTCCAAAGAGCAGTCATAAAGCTAAAAACAGCATGCCTCTTCATCATCTCGTCGTAAGAGACGCTATCCTACCGATGAAGGCGTGTCAAGACCTTCTCTGGAAGACCAAATGCCCAAAATGGAAGAGTTTCAACTAGAGATCTTATAGCTCCTACGTGGGGCTCAACAACCGCCACTCACACCATTGGATGGAGTTCGTTTACCACTAACTCAGCGACCTACAGGAAACACACTGCTTGGAGGAACTTGTATCGGCCCCTCTCCTCAAGAGGGAACACTTCACCCTATCAAGTCGTGATGTTGAACTCCTTGATACTGCAAGTTCCACTCATCAATCTCACATAGCTCACCTCGCACCACCATGCCTTGCAGCCATTCCAGATGATGTCATTTGTAATGAGCTAAGACCCCTCATCCGGGAAGAGTTCCCCTTAGAGAAATCCCCATGTTGACCTTATTTTTTATGAGGTCTAGTTTTTCCTCTTTATAAGCCTAGGATCTAACTATAAGACTTTTCTACTGATTATCCAATAAGACTAGTGATGGAACTCTCTCACATAAAATTTATAAACACTTCTTGACTCTTCTTGTGAAGTTTCACATAGGTGGTCATAAGCCCTCATTTCTCACTTGAGATGGCTAAGACCAACATGTGAATATTCAAGTATGAGTTCCAATAGAATCAGTGAGACCTTAGGGCAACCCTGGGTGACTTGGTCTTGGTTACACATACACACTCAAACCCATCACACTCATACATTCTAAGACCCTAAAATCTAATCACTCACACTTAACCTACCTCCTAACTCCCTCTTGGAAACTCATATGAGTGGTCCCAAGCCATTAGCCTTTGGCTAGAATGGACAGGACCAACATATGAAGGATCCATAATGAGCTATCCCATGGGTCTTATAGCCTCGGCGCAGGGGTTTCCATGGTTTGTATTGTCACCATGTATGGCTAGTTTCAATTCCACCAAAACACCCAACCTTGGTTCCACCCCCAAATTTTCCTAAAATTCCCAAAATTACCAAAACTCCCAATTTTTTACCAAAAATCATAAAAATTCCCGTAAGCATGTTATTTTTAGTTTTCCTTCCTGTCTATATATATATGATGCTAAAATTTTTGTCTTATTAAAAATTTAAGTTTGTGCGGTGAAAAATTTTCTAAAACTTGAAATTTATTTGTTCTCAAATGTGCTGCAAATAAATTTGATTTTGATTTGAAAAAAAATGATTATGTATATGAAGTTATATTAGAGAAGTAAAATTTTGAATATAGAAATGAGTAAGAGAATTTAGTTGAAACCTATAGCAATGAAGAAAAACTTAAGGTAAAATTTTTTAGTATGGAAATGATAAATAGTGTGTAACTATATTTAATAGGAGAAATTTTATTTTTGAAAATTTTAGATGGGTTAGACTTTTATTTTCAATACTTAGATTTCTTTTATTAAAAATAATTTTCTAAACTATTATTATGTTTTTAGTAAAAGATTTATATTAAAACTTTGCTTTAGGAAAGGATAAGTAAAATTCAAAATCATTAAAGACTTATCCAGATATAGGAATTCTCACCATGAAAAAAAAAAGTTGAAAAAGGGAAGAGAAGCTTGAGAAATAGTGTCTGATGTGCCTAAAAATGTATTATTTTTTATGTTATATTTTATAATGATATTACACTTTAAATGTATGTTTTCAAATTTTTTTGGCTGTAGGTACATCAAAATGAAGCATTTAGAGTGATTGGAGCAAAAGGAACAAAAATGGACCAAAACGGAGCAAACCGGAGCAAATTGGGTCGAATCAAGGCACACTGAAGCCATGAGGGTCAAAACCAAAGACTTAAGTGCATATGCCCGACGCTTAAGTTCCCAAAATGGCACTTAGGCACCACCAGATAGAGAGGAGGGCGTTTAAGCGCCCAAAATCGGTGTTTAAGCGCCAAAAACGATTTTCAACATAACTTCTATAATATACATAGGATTTGGACAGTTTTTTAAGCGGTGATTTGTGTGTCTCTTGGAAAATTTGTTGGAAATGATAAAAGAGAATTTCTAGAAGGATTTGGGGCGGTTATATGGATGTTTTTGAAGACTTTGAAGATGTACTTGAGGCACCATTTGGAAGATTCATTGAATATGAACACTTTGAAGAGACACTTAAGCATCTCTTGGGAAATTATAAATAAGGCTTGGAAATATTTTTAAAAGGCCACTTAGACTCTTGAACTAATTGGAAGAGAAGAAGATGTCTTGGAGAAGAAGAAGGCTTGGGCGAGAGCCCCAAGTGAGGCGACAAGGCGAGAGAGAAAGAGAGAGTGTGAGAGATTTCTTCTTTTCTTTTCACTTTAATCTTTGTCCTTGGAGAGGATTGTGAGGAGATTATTTTTTCTATACAAGGAGATTTTGATTTCCATCAAAGATAAGTATTTTCATTGTGTTTTGATTTGAGTTTAGTACTTTGTTTGGTATGGTTTCAAAGTTTAATTCATTGAAAAGTTCTTGTTGTTTCTCTATGTGTAGTGAGTAGTTTTCTTTACTCTTACCTCTTACAATGAATTAGTATGCATGTGTAGGATAAAAAATTGATTAGAGTGAGAGTATATTGTGATTACTTTACTTTGATATTCATTTACATGTAAACTTAATCAACTTGCATGTTAATTTTTTTTTTTTTGTGAGAATATGTAAAATCTGTGATGGTGTGTCTTAATCAATTGTGGTTGAATCATATGAAATTGTATCGTAGTCATATAGTTGAGTGTCAATAAATAGAGAAATAATTTTTGATGGGTATAGAATTAGAGGACTTTAGAGTGACAGGCTGAAGCACCCAACTTGGTTCTTAGTTTTAGGTCTTAATACTAGATGTCAGCCTGCATGTGTGGGGACGAGAGGACTCTAGAGTGAGAGCTAGTATCTCTCCTACCTAACCAAGGATTCTTAAACTATAAATTAGTCAATGTTCTTTATATTACTTGACCGAGGGTAAGGGATATAATTGCTCATATTTGTCATAATCTCTCTCACTACTTGTTTTACTTTTATGCATGTCACTAATTTCATTGCATGACGAAGAGTAATTTTAATATATTAAACCCCACTTTCTAATTTTCACTAAATATTTTAATTTAGGAGTAAAAATAGTATTGCACTAATAATTGTAAAATATAATCAAAACCAAACCTTTATTGACCTTCCAAGCTATGACGTGT